GGCCGAGAGAAGCCCACACATTCCAGGGGGGGTCACCCCACCGCTCACTAGATGCGAAAAAGACAAAACTATGGCCCGTGTATATCTTCATCTTCTACCGTGAGATACAGGGCCTCCATCCACCCACTACTCACCAGCTGTGCAAAAAGAGAACGTATCGTCCGCTAGAACATGCAAAGATACACCGCCCTATTCTTTGTGTTTTCTGCTTGTGGTGAGTCACATTTTCATTCCGCACATTTGCTGAGTGATGCTGCAAGACCCTCCACTTCAAATGGTGACCCTTGGGTAAGGCAACACGGCAGCAATGATTGATTAATAGCACAAGAAGACAAAAACCACTCACGGAAAAGAAAAACAGGGGAATCTGTTCTAACTTAGTCTATTGAAATTGCATTGAAATTAATATAACAAATGCCATTGCTTTCACTGTCTTGAACAGGTAATTTCCGATGAGTATACCCAACCCATGTGGCCGAATGGTACACTTGACATCAACTGTTCATAAACAGACCTGAGTTCGAATCCTGCTCGGATCAAATGTAAGTAAAATAAGTCTGAATTACCTGCAGTGGGGCCAGTGAGTTCAATGATGACATCCCAAGACCGTCGTTTGAAGCGTAAAGTTAAGGGTAAACATCATGTGCCTATCTGCGGGTTAGGGATTAGCTGCACCACTGGTGGTCTGCCAAAATTTTGAATGCATCTGGACAGAATGTTGTCCAGATGCATTCTGAATCTTGGCAGATGGTTGAGTCACTGTGGTGCAACTACACTGCCTTCACCTTCTTCAGCATGCCATTTCCCTTTTTCTTGTTTTTTTTCCCCCCTGAAAGTGCTGCACAGAGCCAATCCAGATAAAATAAGAAAATAATAGTCCACAGATGATGCCTGATCGCACAGAAGAGAGTCGTGAAGGTGGGCCGCAAGCCCACACACCGTGGGAATATAGAGGGCAGGTGGGACCACTTCGGCAAAATCAGGCCAGGAAGTGACTCCTCTGTGTGATCGGGTGACTGTTTGTGCTGTGCGTGCGGCAGGTTTGCATACGCAATGCCAGCTTTGGCCAGTAGAGCTCCTGAAGGCGCGGTACATGAAGGATCCCAGCCTGCGGTGACCTGTCAGTCGACGGTCAGCTTTGAGTGATCAGCCATATGGTTTGTTCTTTGGTCCAGCATTATGAGACCACCACTACACTGTCAAAGGGGATTACAGAGCCCCACAACCACAAGTCCCCATCGATCAGTCCATAACTGAAAGATGGGCCCGGGATTCACCCATCGACCCGGTGCTACTGGGGGACCTGCCCTGGACCACTTATGCGAAAATGATGCCCACCAACCTGAGGTCACTGCAGTGGCAGATCCTTCATCGGTGCCTCCCAACACCGGACTGGCTTGTCTCCAGAACAAACCTGGAACAGAAAGACCTTCTAACAGCCATTTCGTCAAAACGGACATATTATATTTTTTGAACGAAATTTAAATTGAGTTTTTGGGCCAAAATCAGGTCCAAATTTTTGGACCCTGAGGGTCCGCCGGACCCCCAAGATGAATCTAGTCTCAAGCTACAACCAGATAAGGAGCCAAAAATTTGGACCAGATTTAGGCCCAAAAACTCAATTTTAATTTCGTTCCAAAAATATAATATGTCCGTTTTGACGAAATGGCTGTTTTCTGTCCCCAATCGCCAACCGCCCGAGCAATATTGGAGCACTGCCTCTTGGCCTGCCCAATGGTTGCCCAAATCTTGCACTGGTGGGATGCGGCCTTCCACTCACTCGTGACGGTCCATATCCTGTGGAACCTCGGCCTCCTGTTACTAGGAAAGAACCAACACCTGCTGGCCCAGTGGTCCCCATTTGCAGTCAACATCTTCTCCTAGCCGGCTATACATGCTAGTGCTGGCCTGGCATGCAAGGTGCTCCTTTGAAAGGGAAGACCACCAGTTTGTACTGAAACAGGCCCAACAAGCAATAGAGGAGGTGATTAGGTCCTGCACTCAAGAAGCGTGGACGGCCATGAAAAAGAATTACAGAGAGGAAAAGGAGCAGCAGACAAAAGCGGACAAACTCCACTCCGACAGACAAATATGGCAAGATCCCCATAGGATATTCAGCAACTTGACTGTGGACCGGGATATCCAATGGAAACCTTGGACAAGCACTGAGCCTGCCTGGCAGAAGAGGGCCCTCAACAACAACTTCCGTGTCCTGTACCTCAAGCCTAACTTCAATCTCATCCCCCCCCATCCGACACCACCCCCCCCCGCCGGCCCCCCCTCCCCTTCCCAACTCCCCCTCTCTACCCCTGCCCCCCCCACACCCCCCCCACACCCCCTAGGGTTTTAGCTGCCAAAGGGTTTAGGGGTTAATGCAACTTAAAGGGGAAAAAGGGATGAAGATGAATGCGGCAGCCAATCTCACCACCACTCAGCACACAATTAAATAGATGGGGAAGCAGCTAGTATTTCATGTATATTTGAGGTGGCCCACCTTCGG